CCCCCCTGCAGCTGCACGCCGAAGCCGTTGAGCGGGTCGCCCAGCAGGACCACCTCACTGGTCTCCACGTGGACCACCTGCCCCCCGGGGCCCACAGAGCTGGACGCCAGGGACACTGGACAGCAGAGACGGACAGTAAGGAAGTAGAATTACTTAAGTAATGTACTTAACCCTATAATGCCAAATGTATCATATTTGATACACACGGTTTCTGAAATGTTTAGCTTCTGACAACTTTTGCATAATTTAATGATAAAAACTTTGCTCAAAATCCTATTGTACACAATCAGATACACCTGATAACAGGGGGCAGAAGACTACACAAAAAATAATAATAACTTATCACATAGTAATAAATTATTCATATTAAAAATGTATTTCTGTTTTTTTCTTTTTACATATTTTGTTAAAAGGCCAAATAAGGAATTCAAACAAAAAAAAGTCATTTTCTGTTTTGTTTTTCTCTTGGATTAGGCTTTAAAGGTTTAAGTACCAAAATGCAGTATCTATACTTTTTTGGAGTATATTTTTTTCCCCTACCTTTACTTTTACTCCACTACATATTTTTGAATAATTTAATACTTTTACTTTTACTCCACTACATATTTTTGATTAATTTAATACTTTTACTCCACTGGATATTTTTAATTAATTTAATACTTTTACTTTACTCCACTACATATTTTTTTATTAATTTAATACTTTTACTCCACTACATATTTTTTATTAATTTAATACTTTTACTTTTACTCCACTACATATTTTTCAATAATTTAATTATTTTACTCCACTACATATTTTTGATTAATTTAATACTTTTACTTTTACTCCACTACATATTTTTCAATAATTTAATTATTTTACTCCACAAGATATTTTTGATTAATTTAATACTTTTACTCGACTACATAGTTTTGATTAATTTAATACTTTTACTTTTACTCCACTACATATTTTTGATTCATTTAATACTTTTACTCCACTATATATTGTTGATTAATTTAATACTTTTACTCCACTAAATATTTTTGATTAATTTAATACTTTTACTTTTACTCCACTAGATATTTTTTATTAATTTAATACTTTTACTCCACTAAATATTTTTGATTAATTTAATACTTTTACTTTTACTTCACTAGATATTTTTGATTAATTTAATACTTTTACTCCACTACATATTTTTGATCAATTTAATACTTTTCCTTCTACTTTCACGGGCTGAAAAAATGGAGTACTTCCGTACTTCCACTTGTATCAAGTCTGGTGTTGAAAGAACACTTCAACTTTTACTCAAGTCAGTTTTTTTATGTAGTACTTGTACTTCTACTCCAGTACTTTAAACATCTCTGAAACAGGGGTTAGCATCGCCACCGGCTTCCCAGATAAATCTCTTCATAAATAAAGACTATTTTAGTCCTGTGGGACACCGGGCACCTACGGGAGCTCTTGTGCTCCTTCTTCCTCTGGCGGCGCTTGAGGAGGGAGTTGCGGGGGCTCATGGGCACCGAGGGCCGGGGCAGCGTGCTGGAGCTCTGGCTGCTGGGGCCCGAGGTGGCGTTGGAGCCCGAGGAGAAGCTGGCAGAGACCAGAGCTGCAGCGGGAGGGAGGAAAGACAGCCATGTTTGCTGTTAAAAAGCAGATTCACATCTCTACAGAGGGGAAAAATCTGTAAATTCTGACTAAATTATTGGAATTATCACTATCCCTTATTTTAGACCTTTATACATATATACATATAATAACTTATGTATATATTTATTTATATTCTGTGTGGAATTGTGTATATTTATATATAGACATAGACTATAAACATAGACTTCCTTTATTGTCATTGTCAAAAACACGAGGTGAATTTGACAACGAAATGTCAATTTCTTGGCTACCAGAGTAAAATTTTTAGCAACGAAACATCAATAAATATGTGTGTATGTATGGGGGGGTTATGTGGCGTTAAGTAGTCTGATGGCCAGGAGGAAGAAACTATTTAGTAGTCTGGTCGTTCTACAGAAGTATGTGTATAGACATGTATATGTGTATATGCTGTTGTTTTATTTCTGGAGGTAGTAACAAAAATAATTTCCCTCTGGGATTATTAAAGTATTTCTGATTCTGATTCTGATTAAAAAGCCAAAGAAACTCTGGAGAGCAGCCACTTTAAACAGCCACAATACATAATTACGCACACAGTTACCCAGAGGTCCAAAATGAAGCCCCCAACAAGACATGTAAAATAGATTTATACATTACGGCAACAAGTTTGCATTTCGTGGCCATAAATTCAGAATTTGAGACCCCGATTTAGTATCTTATGGCCATGAGCTAGCTAAACACAAATGTTGCAAAATACAAACGGCTCGTATGAGGCCACAAAGCATGAGAGCATGTTGTGAACTTGTTTTCATGGCCGCGTTGTTAGAATTTGGCTATAGCTACTCACTTTAGCATTGTATGCTATCACACGATCTATGTAAATTACACACCATTTGTCATCTACATGAATTAGGACCTGGCCTGTTCATGCCCAGAGGTAACTGGCCAATGGGACTTGGTTATGTCCAGTCCAGAGAGAGGTTTTTGTCTGTTAGAGCCCAGATGATATATTTAACTGTGTCCAATAAATGTCATTTCTTTATACTTTTGATCCACTCCAGCGCTCTTACACTTGCAGTAGTCGACGCTGTTGATGGTGTTGTTGTTGGAGGCCGTCCAGGATTTGTTGAGCGTGGAGCTGGCGTTGCAGAGGGTGGAGTTCGGGGGGAGGCAGTAGTTCACACAGGGGTCCCAGGAGTGGGGGTGGTCCGACTTCTGGACCTTCACTGGAACACACGCAGAAACCAGGAGTGTTGATTAGGACTTTAAGTGGACAACATTTATCTCAAAGCTTCCAGCAAATGTTGTGGGAAATCGGAAACTACACAAACTGCTCTGCGTCGGGTCAAAGGTCAACCTGGTTTGTCAGCACCCGTTCCAGCTCATGGTCAATGCCATTAAACCCCTAATGAGGATTTTTAAAGGAAATGAGTGTTCATTTTTCGCTCATCTACTTCTGTGATTTCATTAGTTCTCACGAACAGAGTGTGTCCAAACACGAGCCTGGACACATGGAGGCTGTGCGGAGCCGTTAAGAAGTTAAGAGGTCCCATTTTGGAGGATGGAGGAGTGGGGGGGGGAATCTGGGGAAAATCCCACTGAGAGCATCGGCACACGAGCGTTCCTCCTCACCACACACACACACACACACAGACGCACCCACACACAGACTGACACAAAAACAAAAACACACGCGCATTTTGAAAATGAGTATCGTATCCGGATACAACATTTTAGTATCGATACTTTTTTGAGTATCGATACTTTTGACAAGCCTAACCACCCTGCCTCCCCATCGGCCGTCACTCTTCTGGCCCGTTCCCCGCCACTTCACCCAACATTTCAACCGTCTCCGTTCACCCAAAGGGCTGTTTTTGTGGCCGCAATCTTTATGGCCTTTGTCCTTTGTTTCAAACAGGCTTCGAGTTCAAACCGGGACGTGCCGAGCGGAAAACTCCACTTTGGTGTCGGCAGTGAATCAGCGTCTGTAAAGTCCCATCAAGAGATCCCTGAAGTATTAATGCCCCCGCCGGACGTCGTCGCCCATCCGAGCGAGGAAATCCGAATCGTAATTGAAGTTTTCATTGATCTTCTTCCCCCGTTTGGACGCTCGGACATATCATTAAGCTCCCATAACCACAGTCAGTAGAAATGATGGATGACAGGTGTCTGCTTCCTGTTGATGTCTTTTAGTTGCTCTGTGCCCCCCCCTCCACCACTAAAATGTTTGTCCACTAAGTTTCCGCTAAGTTGGGAATAGAAACAACATTATCATCAGTTTTAACCCCTAAAGACACGGATGGAACGGAGCAATAGCCCCAAAATGGAGCCCCGAAAAAAAATAAAAAACGGAATAATTTGATTAGATTTTTGGACTGGAGAACCCGAGGGAACCCACAGACACAGGGAGAACAAACAGACTCCACCCAGAAAGGTCCTGGTTCCCCCGGGACTCAGACCCAGAACCCTCTGGTCCTGGTTCCCCTGGTTAATTTAGTATTCTAGTGATTTTGTAAGATACTGTGTGAACTGTAGTGTATGTTGTGTGTAATGTCTTAAGCTGCCGGTACCTTGAATTTCCCCTTGGGGATCAATAAAGTACCTACCTACCTACCTACATACCCACCTACCCACATACCTACCTACCTACCTACCTACCCACATACCCACCTACCCACCTACCTACCCACATACCTACCTACCTACCTACCTACCTACATACCTACCTACCTACCTACCTACCTACCTACCTACCCACCCACCCACCCACCCACCCACCTACCTACCTACCTACCTACCTACCTACCTACCTACCTACCTACCTACCTACCTACCCACATACCTGCCTACCTACCTACCTACCTACCTACCTACCCACATACCTACCCACCTACCTACCTACCTACCCACATACCTACCCACCTACCTACCTACCTACCTACCTACCCACATACCCACCTATCTATCTATCTATCTATCTATCTATCTATCTATCTATCTATCTATCTATCTATCTATCTATCTATCTATCTATGGAGGAAAGCAACACTGGGACCAGATAGGAAGGAGTACAAAACAAAACAGGAAACGTGACAAGACACCTATGACGATATATGTCAGGTGGTTACTCAGACCCCCCCCCC